CTTTGAAGGATAGATGTCTCATTGGCAATCATACCTGATCTCCTTATTTTTATAATAATACCTCCTTTTCAATTTATAACATTTTCATTTTATTTCTGCTAATCTTGGCTCTAGATCATAAAACTTTTCTCAGTACTCTGAGTACAAAATTTGTGCTCCAAACACCAAATCCAGGATTTTGATTGGTTGATTTCTGAGTCTGAGTAGGAAAATCGTGCTCGAAAGTTTTATGACCGCAAGGCCTGAAGTTGTAGGACATACATGGTCAAAAAAAGGCAGGGGACTGGCATATCATGCACTCATGGTACATGTACCGTTGTTTCTTTCATAAGTGTGCGTACACTCTAAAAAATGTGTTTAGAGCCTAAACACTTTCCTAAACACATTTATGAAACCGATTTTTGACATGTTTTAAATCTAAACATGTTTAATATTTAATGTGCTAACAGCCTAAACGTGACAAGCTATAAAGTGCTTAGACTGTAATCATGTTTAGCTGTAAAGCGTTTAGACTAGAAACACGTTTAGCTAAAAAGTGCTTAGACTGTAAACATGTTTAGCTGTGAATTGTTGTATCTGGAAACATGTTTAGCTGAGAAGTGTTTTGTCTGGAAACACGTTTAGCTGTGAAGTGTTTTGAATGTAAACATGTTTAGACCATAAAGGGTCGTGAAGAAACATGTTTATCATTTTATTGTGAGAAGCCGTTACTTCATTAGGCCCCAATTAAACTAATATTCCGGAAGGCTTGACTGTAAAACGTATGATAGCTCTCAATAAAACAGGTTTTCATACCATCACAAAAAGGAGCCAATGCATCAAACTAAGAAACTGGAATTTCCATATCAAATTGAATGTGACCAATACCTTTTCAATCTCAATGAGTTTTTTCTTTAATTCAATTCACGTCATTCGACTATTGCATTTTTTCTTCATTTCAAATATTCGTAAAACAGTCTAGAACTTTTGAAATGAAATTATCATTATACTAATTCTAGCTTTAAAAACAAAATTACAACATATAAAACAAAGGAATTTATGTAATCATTTATTTCCAGTTTATCATTGAACACAATCAAAAATAAATTCATATCAAGGTACATGTACATAATATTGACCAATCTTCTACTTGTACCCCATCCCTACAACAAAACAATTTGAAAATGTCCTGTTTTCATTTTACAGGTCAATAAGAGCTTCTCCTTTCTTAGTGCCCAACTGCTGGTCAATGGCCTGAAATATAGAAAAATATTGATAAGCAACTAAGTAGAATTAATCTAAAAATATAAGAATACGAACTACAACACCAAAAAGTAAACGCATGATTTAAGATCCAGATAACAACATTAGGACTGTGGTATAAAAACATAAATTTACTGATGAATCAATTGATATTTTTTAATATAAAACTTCTTTTCATGCTTAATATTATTCATTTGATCAAATATATATTGGCATTTTTAAAATCAAATACACTTTTGATTCTTACCTAGCAGCATATTTGCTACTGTTCTTTATCTCCTCTTTTAGCATGCCAAGACAGGTGATGATTTCCTCTGCACTTCTCTCATCTAGAATAAAACAATACATATCAATCAAATTATAAAAAAAATCACAACCGCTTATAACTATTGAAATAAACAAGCATCTTTCTATTTATTTTGAGGAAATGTTGATTGTGCATATCGGAAGTGCTTACGAAAACAATGAACTCGATATGACACTGGATTTGCGAATGATGCACCTCATCCTGATAAGACTCGGCAGATTCCGCTACTCTTCATGTTCCATTATATTCTGCCGAGGAGTACCAAACGAAAATTATCCTCACAAACTCCTTTCCAAGAACATATATAAATAAAAAAATAAATGCAAACTTGCATGATAGAACATTAAACAGCTCTTATCATCTATACACAAGATAGTTTGAACACATAAAGCTCTTACAAGCACATGTTTCGTGGGATGGTACCCCCTTTTCTCTCTTGCATTGACTATACGGTAGTGTACTTGTAAATAATGCTTATAACTGTCAATAATCATTTAAAATTGGCAGTACAAAATAAAAGACAGTATAATCATAACTCCTTACCTTTCTGAAACAGTCAAGTTACGGTCAGTTATGGTCAGAAGTAAACAGCGTGGCCTTTGACTTCGGGTTCTTTGTTTCTTCTTCCCGCTCAAAAATTAGCACGTGATATGAATGCCGTATTCGGCCTAAATGTGTTGTAATTCTAAACGTGTTTAGGAAAGTGTCTAAATATTGAAAGTGCTTAGAATTTAAACACGTTTAGCTTTATATACTTGACAAAGTAGCTAAACATGTTTAGCACAGCAACATGTTTATTGAAAAGTGCTGAGAGCCAAAACATGTTTATTTTTTTATGTTTAGAAATTAAACACTTTCCTAAGCACATAAGTCTTACAACACGTTTAAATTCTAAGCACAATTTTTACAGTGTACGTTTCGGAATTTTAGAATCTACTGTAAATTTTTTCTTGCAATTTTTATGTAGCAGTTCACAATCGATCAAAAAAGGGAATCATGTGCTTAAAGATAAGCTTAAACAGAACAGAATAAAAAGACAACAAAAAGCATCGCAAGTTTGCGACTTTAACCGTCAATTGGTGCCCGCAAATCTTCAAATACTGTACTGTCATTTGCATTTTAATGCAACTGTAAAAAAAAAACACTGCAAAATGACAAATTCTTAGTTGATCAAACTACGTCTGAGCTTCCCCGCACAACATCAAACATGCATCAAGCATGGAATTGATGTCCTGAAATTTGTTGCAATATCCAACCAAAATAAACGTTACAGATTTTGTTGTATTAATTTAATTTTAGATGTAACACGTTTTCTGATTGGCTGAAAGTTTTTTGGTTATCAGCTCATAGACATAATTTTGCCATGCGATCGTGACGTCATCAACGTTTTTTCATGATTTACTCCTTAGAAATGGAATTTAGAATTAAATAATAAAAAATGACTAATATTTTTTCTGTCTATTCGAAATAACCTCAAACATGTGGTGCACACCTTTAAATTACCCGCTACGCGAGTTATTTAGTGTGCACAACATGTTTGATGTTATTTCGAATAGACAACTGTATCGCATGTCATTGAGATATTGTATGGCTGACCCCATAAACCGCTAAATCATATAGGGTTTTTACCAGCCTTATTTTATGCATACCCGCTCAAAGTATACATTCATAATATGCCGTTTCCAATTCTTGTTTTTCTCATTTCCCTCGGTACATTTGTTCTTTGTAAGAAGTTCGACAAATACTGTTTTGAAGAGTATTGAACTAATGTTAATGCAACTTAACACATATTCTGAATGATTGTTGCTTTGTTTACGTCTTTTGATTTTAAAACACTAATTTTTAAATGGGTATGCATTTCTTTTATACGCCCTCACATCTACAATATGGATCTATTTTCTCTGTTTGACAAATTGTAATGAGGCCGAAAGTTTTTTTAGCTGAAGATCAAGTATGACTGCTTAACGAATAAACGCCAAGAACAAAGCAAATCCGCCTTTCAAAACGTTTGACAGACTTTTTATTCTTTATAAGTTAGAAGAAATCTTTGTAATCTATTTCTTTCCTTTAATGTGCGAGTTTATTTATATGTTCAGATTGGAATTGTTGGAGCAGATTCCACGAGATTCCTCGAGATTTGGAAGGACTTCTCATTTACTTACTGAATTAAAATCCAAACTTCCAATTTCGTTCTTTTAAATCGCAATTTATGTCAGAACCTGGTGTTGTCAATAGTTGGACATAGGATTCTAGCTTAAGAACAGCGCAGCTCCGAATTTGTTTGTCAGTTGAAGAGACGCGATTCTTATATAATTTAGCATTCTCATCAAGACAAAACTATCTTTACAAAAACTCAACAGAGCAGAACGCATAACAGTTACTTTTTGATGATGTCTTTCATGGTTCCGTACAAAAAGAAATTGCAAAACGGTCGTTATCGCTGAATAATTGGTTTTATGAATTAATTTAATATTGAAAGCGCTTCTATATAGTAAAGTTGTAAAAATTAATTGAATTGGCGGGACTACTTTAAAACAGGCAGATCACTTTTCAATATTTGCAGATTTTTTAAGAGACACGAGGTAATAAGTATTTTAGTTAATTACCCATAACACTCTAGTATTTTGTGAAGTTTTTAGCAGACAACTGTTACTATTTCTTTTACATGCATCCACGTAAGCCACCGTGATAGATCGATTTCACTGTTGTAAGTCAACAGACTCCTAAAATAAGGATGTCAACACCCATTAGTTAAGATGTTTGATTACAATAACTGATAAAGGTTATTTTACACTAGACTAAGTTTTGAAAGTGAATAACCGTGTTTATTATGTTACTTCTGTTAATCTTGAACAAAAGCCTCGGAGGAATTGTCAAAATAATAATGTAAGTTTATATAAGTAATTAATCAAATTTATTCATTGAATAAATTAATAAAAAAGAAATTTAATTGAAATTTACAATAAAGACTGTCATGTTACATATCGATCCCTATAACTTGATATATTGTGACACTATATATAGAAGATTGTTTCAGATATCGATAATTTAATAATCGAGTGCTAAAACGTTATCGATATCGTAAATATTGGTTATCGAGTGGCCTCTTACCTAAAGCAAAGGCATCATAAAGTTATATTTTTTTTATTATTTATTGACTCACTTATTTTGTTTACATCGAGAATTCATTAGCCATTAATTAACTAATTTTTTAAATCATTATGATACGAATGCGATATGACTATTTTCTTAATTCATTTTTGTACCATCAACGGTTATCGAAAGGCTACTCTTATAGCATAGATCATATTGACAACATATTAAATTAACTTATTTTTTATTACTTCTCATTAACATAATGATTGACACATTTACGCACGCGTATCGACAAGGACAGAGTAGTCTCGTTATCTGCTGTTTTATTGCTAGAACCATTCATCCGTGGTATTATACAAGTATGGACAATCATTGATGTATTTTTCAAATTAGCTAAAAGAAAAGTTACTTGTTTTCATCATATGTTTTGATTATTGAATTCTTAAGATGGATTTTATTTTAATTTTCAAAATGGATAGTGAGTGACCCGTTGTAAACGAGGAAAAAGGTCTTTGATTTGTAATACAGGAACTGTTTTTACATGTGATTAAGGTAAGTAAATTTGTTGACAGCATATTAGTGTTACACTCTTTAAATTATAACCGTTTTCAGAACATAATATGAGGAAACCCGTTTATTTTGATACTCACGTTTTAACCATTTTTATTTCCGCATTCTTAAAAATAAATGGACTTACTTACTATTGAATCTTTTCCGTGCTTCTTTTATCATTAATTTATTTGTTTATTTATATATCATTATTTATTTATTTATCTATAAATTTTTCATTATTTATTAATTAATTTATCTTTTAATTATTATTATTATTGTAATAATTATTATTTTTTTTTCTCGCTTATTAAGAGCTTGGTAAGCAAGGGACTTAATATTTAGTGGTACATCATATAGTAAGAAATATACATGTTGTTTGGATGTACAAGTACCCGTCCACGTCCACTCTATATTTCTATTTGTATCCATCTGACGAGTTAAGCATTTTTCAACTTATTTTTATAGTTTGTTCTTATGTTGTACTGTTACACAATTGTCCCAGGTTAAGACGAGGGTTGGCGCCTTCAAACTAGTTAACCTCGCCACATTCTGTATGTGCCTGTCCCAAGTCAGGAGCCTGTAATTCAGTGGTTGTCTTTTGTTGCTGTGTTACATATTTTTTTTTAGTTCAGTATTTTGTACATACATTTGGCCGTTAGTTTTCTCGTTTGAATTGTTTTACATTTGTCATTTCGGGGCCTTTTATAGCTGACTATGCGGTATGGGCTTTGCTCATTGTCGTACGGTGACCTATAGTTGTTAATTTCTGTGTCATTTGGTCTCTTGTGGAGAGTTGTCTCATTGGCAATCATACTACATGTTCTTTTTTATATCATTTGCTTAAAGGGCACTAACTGTCAAATTCATGTTCACCGATTTGACTCAAATTCTCATATTTGATTTATAACAATGTAAAACATTTATCCAAATTATAAAAAGTCAAAAATGATCAATTTACAGGGCATGGGCTCGATAATATGTAGCTTCGTTTCGTGTGTATTTTAGTCTAGACGCCATCTAATTAACTATCGAGTTGACCTCCGAATACCACCGATGGCCATATAAGCAATATAAACATAAATATAGATATAAATAGAAACCGGACTCGTGCAATTGGATTTTTCTAGGTCTGTTATATTATAGATTAAAAATATATATTAATCATCGTTTTTACCTGTACAAGAATGATTTTTTTGTGGATCGAATCAGTCACTCAAATGATTTACCTTTGTTTCACTTTCAATGTTGACATTCTTTTCCTTTAAATAACTCAGCACGCACGATTCATGCGTTATCCATCTCTAGCTAAGGGGTTAAATTGAAGTTCACATGAATACGGATTCAATGAGGTCGAATTATTCACTTGCAAGCGAATAATTCATAAGCAATGTTTCTTAGCCTTTTTTGACAGACAGAATTGAACCATACTGGCTGCCAAAAGCGATATATCATTTCACTATTTCACTTTCATTAATGGTTGAACAAAAAAATCATATTTTATATTTTTATATATCTCGTAGCTAGTGCCCCTTTAAAACAACAACGTCACAAGTCTTTAGCTTTTGTATGTTAGTCCCTTTTAAAGGTATTACATATAACAATTCAAGTGAATATATAGACACTCCTTCCAATATTTGATATTTTTTTCTTATTTTTTTCTAAAAAACAGTTATATCTACATACATATACATGTATACAACAACAACAACAATAATAATATTATTATTTTTTTATTATGTTCGCCTAAATAGACACTCACACACCATAACACTTGAAACACTCAAAGACAAAAATATAATTAACTGTGAGAACTCTCGAAAGTGTCTCAGCAGATCTTACCAGTCAAAAAGAAGATCTTATAATCAAAAGCGCTTTCTTGTCACGAACTGAGTGAAAGTCATATCTTTTCCAAGGGTCATTGAGATATTACCAGATGATATTTATCTGTTTATTGTTTGAATGAAAACATATGACCGATTTTGGTGTGCCGTGTTTTTATATAAGGGGACGACCATTTGATTTTCTGACCCGGGGGGGGGGGGGGGGGGGGGGGGGGATGAGGGCGAGGAGGATTTTGAAAATAAATAACTTGGCCTGGTCTGAAATGAAAAAATGACTTTGCACAACACATGAAAATGAATATTCTGCAACATTAAATGCGGGATACCTGAGGATACACATGTGAAAATAAATAAAAATTAGCATGAGTAGCAACAGATAAAGTAAATGATCAATCCGGAACTCGGAAAAATCATCATGCCCCCACCCCCAGAATATCTAATGGTCGTCTCCTAACCTAAATCAGGAAATCGGTCGGATTCAAAGTTTTTGGAAGCAAGATATACAAAATGTTTGAAATCATAAAACCGGAAGAGCCTAAACAGCTTCAAACGTCCAACGTTAGCTTTCCCGGCCAAAGCGATAGTGCTTCTTCTTAGTTGAGTATTATTTCATTGTCTTTCCTGGATGGTTGCGACAATTTGATTTCTAAATGTTCGATACTATACTGTCAGCTCTGCAACTGATTGTTTTGCATTTGTTTATTAACTCAACTGTTTAGCTTATATGAACTGCTTTGCTATCTAGTGCTTATCTTTAAGTTTTTCCATTTTTACCGGTGTTGATCTGCTGTCCGCTTACCTATAGTTGCGCTTGCCACATTAGCCGCTGATTACATTATTTGTGCAACAGTTCTGACTGTTTAAATATTAAATAGATTTATAAATCTTTACATAAGATTTCTAGAAATCTGTAATGTTGGGTGTTGCATGGCTTTATTTCGTTGTATGTTTTATACGTGCATGATGCTTTGGTATAATTATTTTGTATCCTTTTTTTATTCGGTAAAAAAACTCACTAGAGCTTATGTTTAAATGTTTTACACTATTCAGAATCAAAATAAATATTTCTATGTCTTTATGGCGGACGTTAGTCGTAACCATGCTGTTTCCGGTGTCGGCTTTACTGACATGAACAATTGTTAATTTTTGTGATTAAGTTACGCAGGCGAGATATATCTTTTTATCGCACCGCGGGTAAATTATCACGTTGTGATTGGTTTAACGCCGTCACGTGGTGACCCCTATGGATCCGCAGGGGTTAGTAAATTTCATAGGGGGTTCATGACGTCACGTCTACTGTTAATGGTGACGTCTTCTATTAATGTTGTTGTGTTTCATTGTTTATTTTTCTACAAAACGCAGCAGAAAAAGTCCCGCGTGCGATAAATTCGTTATACGGTTCACTACTGACCCCTACGGACCATAGAGGGTGAATAAAATCCATAGGAGATTCGGCTTCGGCCTCACCCCCTATGGATTTTGCTAACCCTCTATGGATCCGTAGGGGGTTAGTAGCGAACCATATAACTTATATTGTTAATAGTTCATGTTCTGTTATGTACCTTTGTTAGTCAACTGATAGAGATTTTAGATCTCAAAAATCTAGTTAACTCCACCACATGAACATAAATCAGGAACCTCTCCAGTAGTTGTCTGCAATTATCATGATACAACTTGGGCTAAATGTATTTTAAACTTTTCAAGACTCGGCGCGAATAGAGCTTGGCATATCTGTCTATTTTTGAAGCCCACATGTTGACCTTTAAAAATTTCTGGGTGTTTTGTGACGTTTAGTTGCTGTCTCATTGACATATACCCCACATCTGGTTTCATTCATGTATTGTCAATATAGTGTACTAAACGTACGCGTACGAAAACAAAGGAGAAATTCAAGTTGTAAACCATTTTATGTAATTTAGCAGGGTTGCAAACACGCAAGAGATAGACTAATTTATGTGATCAGGTTCTTTTTTCCACAAGTTTTATCTTATATTAAAATGTTTCAAAAGGTGTAACTTGAATATACAACAATCCACCATCTACTGCCAATCTATAACAAAAAGAACATACAAGTAATTATTAATAAAAAACAAATTGTATTAGTCTATGCAACACAAAAACTGAAAAAAATCTGAAAAAGAAAAAAAAATGGATTATTTGACCGTCGATGAAAACAAAACAAAAACAGATAAAATACCAAAAAAAACTTCCTCAATAAAACAATTTTTGTGTGACTAAAAGGGAGGGTCAATTTCCACTGATTCTATTTCACATCAGACCCATTTTCTTAAAAATCTTTCAATATTTACTAAGATACATTATAGCAGCTTCATTGTGTCTGTACTTTAGGTTGATATATACCCATGCTTGAAATATTTCCAAACGTGACCAAATTTTAAAAGCCGGAAAATAGCCCAGAACTGTAATTTTGATAGCTTTTGCGAAATTTTGTGTATCAATCTAAATAATAAGAGGGAATTCTTTAACAACACCAATATTCAATTGAAAGAAACTTTAGGCTATGAATTATTTTTCATTTTGGATGGACTTAGGTACAGTAGTTGTTTTTACAGAATGTGTAAAATGTGTACTATTGTTACAAAATTACCTTCATCAGCAATCTTTCAAGTTGGCTTACATTTTAATTGAAGAATATATGTTTTATCATTTATAATCGGTTTACGTGTGTTATGTAGTCTGTGATATTCAAATTCGAGTCAGTTCTAGCAATACCCTTGTTCTAACTAAACAAACAATTGAAACAAATATATGGGTTATTGCCCCTACCTCTATCATGTTACCAACTCGTCTCAATCGACTAACCTCGGGTGACTCCGCTTCTCTCAATCTATCTATTAGATGGACGTACGGAATCGGCCGAGTTGTGACGAATGGAACTCGTCTGTTTACCAGTTTATCTTTAGAAATGTTCAACTCGAATCTAGCCAACACCTTTAAAAACCACTTCTGCAGATAAAATAAGAGTTTCGCAGGTTAATTTAACCCCAATAAAGCGATTAATTTAAAATTCAAACGAGTTCCCTCTAAACGATTTTGAGTTCAACTATTGTCGGATTTTCAGATGACCTCCTTAAGGAGGATATGAGGTGAATAAAAGCTTTGTTCTTATTACAATGCTGGTCAGTATGTCAACATCGG